CAGAGACGGAAGCTCCCAGCCTCTCCTTTTTTCTTTTTTTTTTATTCTGGGATTTATTTACCTTCTATAATTGAAACTTTGTAGCCTGGAGTGGAGCTCAGAGCCAGCCAGGGGAAGCCTCCTGCTCACTCCAGCTCCGTGGCCATGGCTGGCTGAAAGCAGGTATCTGGGGTTTATTTACCTTCTATAATTGAAACTTTGTTACTTTGAGTGGAGCTCAGAGCTGGCAGCAGCAGACGCGAAGCTTGGCTTCCTCCATCATTGGGGCAACCAAGCCTCCTGCTTGCTCCAGCTCCGTGGCTGCCGGCTGCCATCTTGGTTGGGTTAATTTTCATATAGTTGCTCTGATTGGCTGGTGGGCGTGGCTTAAGGCATAGCAAAGGTATGGCCAATTTGCATGTTTGTATTTTATTAGTGTAGATGGCATAATAATATGTATATGTTATAAGTAAACTAACAACTTGTTTTTCTTAACAGCAATAACAATAATTATAATCCAAATTATTTTTTCAAACCAGTATTTGAATACTGGCCATATGACTCAAACAGAACCATATCCAACCTTATATTTTCCAGGAAAATTTTCCCAGAGAGGTAAAATATTAACTTCTGAATGATGCACAGGCAAATACTTTTTTTTTAGTTGAATGACTGCTTCTTCACTTGAAGTTGCTAAGGCTTTCTGAGCACCTTTGAAGCTGACTTCTGAAAGACCAAAACCATCTTTAGGTATTTAACATGTATTTGTTTAATTGGGGTATTATCACCTCATCTGTGAAGTTGAAAGACAATAGGATTCTACCTACCTTTAGGTCCTTGGTGTTAAAGACAAACACACACACACACACACACACACACACACACACACAATCAAATAACAAAACATATATGAGTCATCTCTCTTCAGTTTAATTACTAAACTTTCTATACTTTGGGTTTCACAAAATCAGGTCCAGGTCCACTCATTATCCATTTCTTCTGCAAATTTTCAGAATTGACTCAACTTATTTTTTAATTCTAATTGGCATCATTGTCTTAGAAACACAGCAATTTCTTATGAGAGATTGTGAAAACAACCATAAACCAACATTTTTTGGACAGACCTGCATTTGAGACATATACAAATATGCAGGGTTTCGTTGGTTTTTTTAAACAAAGCCATGCACAGGGCAGTGTCTTCAGCAGATATTAACATCAGTCCTCTCTATAGCCCCTTTGCTGAACTGTGGCATGCTTGGAGTATAAGCCGTATAGCTATCTGTGAGCCGTTTCCTTCCTGCACTGGGCCACACTGCACCTCCATCATCTCTTTTGCCTCCTCACGAGCCAGATTTTCACTGAGCACAACTTGCTCTGTTGTGGTTATTTATAATAATTTTAATAAGATCAGCCTACATGTTTATATTGGGAAGGCTCACAGATTAAGATGTACTTATTTCCCTTAATTTAATTTTCTGTCTCCTTAAACAACTTCTATATCCATGATACAAAAAAAAAAAAGAATGGATTTTGGTTGTATGATGACCAATTTTGTTTTTAGTTGGCCTTTGGGATAGAAGTTGTTTAAAAGTCTTTGAAAATCTAAAGGAATTCCATTCACTGGGCCCCTTCTTTCACATACATATTTATCCCCCTCACATAAACCTGATTTCCTTCTGTGGCTCTATCCAGAAATAGTGTGTGTGCTTTTAAGTGTTTAGTGGTGCTGCCCTTATCATAACCTCTTCTCAGAAATGAGACCAAATTAGGAATCCAGGATTTGGTAGAGTGGCCCTTTATAGACACTGCTCCTCACCCACCGCCTAAGACAGGTCCTGGAGCCTTGTGTGTGTTCGTGGTTTTCAGTCCTGCACATAAATATCTTGGTGAGGGTTTGGCTCCATCACTAATGCAATTCAGTGACTGGGGAGCCACAATTGCTGTAAACATGACTCAAGAGCAGCCTGTTTAATGTAATCGTCTGACTCTGAAATCAGGTGTGCAGAGGGGCCAAAGGTTACAAGTAAATGAGCTAAAGAGAAATGGATGCCAAACTCAGATCTGGTTCAAACGCACTGAGAACAGTCTTTATACTTAAGTAGTTTTCGACCCACTTCTTCCCACCCACCCACTTTAAATTACAGTTATGGAGTAGAACTTTCTCTAGCCTCCTCCTTGGAAGAGATTCAGGCAAAGCATCCATTCAGTCTGCAGAGTTCCCAGGAACAGCAGAAAACGAGGCCTCGGTCACCAGGAAGACAGACGCAGGGTGTGCGGGTGAGTGGGCGTGTTGTTTACTCTTTCTGGGTGGCTGGTGAACGGGCATGTGTGGAGGAAAGGAGCTGGGTTGGTGTGTGCTGTAAACGTTTTCTGAGCTGGTGAGGGAGTGACTACTGATCCCTGCTGCTTAGTGAGTGAGTCACGGGCCTGAGGGCAGAGCCTGCTACAGGGCGGGGCCCAGTCTGGCCCACAGAGTCCTCCAGGAGCACCACTGAACAGATAAATATTTTCCTGGCAGTTATCTGAGCATTTCAGAGAAGCAATTACCTCTGAACAATGCAAATGGAAATTCAGGGGGGTGGGAGTCAGATCAGATTATGGCACTGCATGAGATGGACCACAGACCGAGGGGTTCCTGGACACCAGGAAGTTCAGACTCTTCGGGAAAGGGTGGCTGAGGGTGAGGGACCATGGGTACCATGGTAGAGTCCACAAGTCCAGCAAGAAAGACTTCCGCCCGAGAAGCAGTCTCAGGGAGAAAAGGGAAATGCAGGAGGCAAAGAAAGGTTAGAGCCTTCAATGGGACTCACGCAGCCAGTTCTAGTGTTTTCTATTGAGATCAGCTTGTGGTGGGGATGAGAAATTCATCCCCTGCTGGAGGCGACAGTGGAATCTGGAGAAAGGAGATGGTTTGCCTAAAGTCACACAGCCAGTTAGTTATAAACTACAGGTTACAGCAGCCTGGTGTTCACATCTAGGGCTTAAGGGGATAATCTGCTGAGTTTGTTGAAGGTGGCTTGCCATAAATTGTAAAGATTGAGTCAACACAATGTGGATAGGCAGATTATTTCTGAGAGCATGGGAGGAGCAGGTGGCAAGACTTGTGGAATTGTTAATAAGCAGGTTTTGGTGATAGAATTGAGCTGGGCCAGGCAACCAACTGGAAATAAAGATAGGGTGTGGTTTGGCCTCAAAGAACTCGGGAGCGTATGTGCATGCGCATGTGTGTGCACATGTGTGAGTGTGTGTGAAGAGGTGGCTGTTTAGCTTTTAGGGTGGGGAGGACTAGAGCATCTCTACTAGAAGACTTGGCTTCCTCCTTGAAATACAGCAATACAGGCATTAACAAATAAAAGTGGAGAAAAGGGGAAAGAGGAATTTTCTAGTTGAAAACCAAGGAAAATGAGTGTGTATAATATTTTTTTTAAACTTTGACCATAGTCCTTTAAATTGGTTTGGGGACAATTTTTAGTGCACTGCGTATGAAAATGTACTCGATTTCACCAATTCAAATAATTATTATAGAAAGTAACAGAAAAGCCTAACCAAGATGAGTAAGTAAGAAGGTATAATGAAGAAGTGGACAAAATGGAATGCTTAGAAAGAGTAAAGGCTTATTGTTGCTGATCGTTCAGAAGGGACCCCATATTCCCAGCAGGCTGCTGGGATATGATGGGGTGAGGGTGCCAGTCTAGGGAGGACACATGGCATAAAATTCGGTGGAAGGGGCCACATGAGCAGCAACAGGGTGAAAGTGAACTGGGAATGACCCAGGAATCTCCAGGGGTGGAAACTCCATTCCCAGATAATGAAAACCTATGGCAGGAGGAATGTACCTGAGGCAAGTAGACCAGAGTGATGAGACGAAGAAGCAGATAAAGTGGGAAAGTTACAAACACAGGCGCCAAAATGCTGAGGCAGAAACCAACACTTCTAGACTTCCATTGCTTTTAAGTCATACTCCCAGATGCCTGGGCTCTGAAACAAGGAGTCAGTTTGACATTCTCTCCTCTCTACCCACACAATCAGGTTCTGCTGATTTTTTCGTAGTTCACCGAGATTGCTTCCCTCTGTTTCCCTTCCACTATTTTAGTCTCAATAGCTCACACCTGGGCACTGGAGACTTCCCCAAGGGCATGCCTTCTCCCATCCTTTCACCTGCCGTCTTTCTGTAGGAGTGTTATCAGGATCTCAGCTTTGACTGTCTCCTCTTTACCCCTATCACAGTGGTTCTCAACCTTGGCTGCACATTAGAATCACCTGGGAATCTTTTTAAAATCCTGATTTCTGGGCCTCATCCTCCGGAAATTCTGTTTCTTTGTTACTAATGTTGTGGCCCCACATTAGTAACAAAGAAACAGAATTTCCAGAGGATGAGGCCCAGAAATCAGGATTTTAAAAAGATTCCCAGGTGATTCTAATGTGCAGCCAAGGTTGAGAACCACTGCCCTATAATCTACCAGGTAAGACTGGTCATAGCTGTACCCCATCTAGCCATCCAGCCCCCTCCATCTGCCTCTTTCTTGTTGCTCCTATGTCCACTTCACTTCCCTCTTGGCCTGTTCTTTCTATACATTCCAATCCCTTTCCAGCTCTGCAACCCTCCTGTTCACTGCTCTTCTCGCCCTCTCCTGTCTCACACAATGTTCCTGTTTCTTTTAAATCAAACTAAACAGTGCCGTGTTATTTATTTATTTTTAAATACATTTTTATTGATTTCAGAGAGGAAGGGAGAGGGAGATAGAAACATCAATGATGAGAGGGGATCATTGATGGCTTGCCTTCTGCACACCCCCTACTGGGGATCACGCCCCCAACCCTGGCATGTGCCCTGACCGGGAATTAAAATGTGACCTCCTGGGTAATAGGTCAGGGTTCAACCACTGAGCCACGCCGGCTGAGTGTGTTATTTAAACACAGACCTAGGGTCTATGGAGGATTCTAAATCTAATCTAGATTGCATCCATTGTTTTACTACACTCAGCCCCACCTTCTGACCTTCTCTGTCATCTCCCTCTAAAACTATCAAAATATACTGCTTGAAGTTGGCACCTTCTGACCAATACTTGTTTCTTTTGCAACTTTGGGCAAATACTTAAACCTCTCTGAGTCACATGAATACTACCTTATAAGAAAAAAATTTTTTTAAATGCCATATAGATTTGTCATGAAATGAAATGACCTACTAGAGAGCTACATACACAATAAATTATAAATTATTACCATCATAATTAATATTTTGTCTGAGGACCAATTTCTGGGAAAAGTATTTTAGTTCCTCATGAAACATACAAACACACAGAATTGGCTGTCATAAGTACACATGCGCCTATTAAGGCTTGTCCAGTTTCTTAAGTGATATATTCAGGAAGCAAGACTCCTCTGTCTGCATTTGGTGATGTGGAAAATAAACCCAAAAGACTTTTATCTTGACTTGGTTAAGGCATTTTTAGGAAATCATATAAACCTCCGTACCTCCTCTGTAAATTAGGATAATTATATCTAATTTGCACAATTACTTGTCCACCTCCAGACCTTGACCACATGGGGCTTGATCCCTCCCCATCTGACAGCCCTTCCAGCTCTTCATCTGCACCCCAGTCTTTCCTCATCAGTCTCAGCAGCCCCTTTCTCCCACCCCATTCTCCTCGTCTTATTTGGTGTTTCCACGAGTCTCTTCCAAGACAACTTTTCTTTATGCCAAGTGCTCTGCCTGAGCAATCTGGTGTGGTCTCTTGACCTCAATTAGCATTTTCTACGCTAAAGAGGCCCCACAGACCTACTTCCATGTTGTTCTCACTAGATGTGTCCACACAGATAACGACAAGAACTTCCGCTCAACATACAGAGTGGTCTTCCCCAAATCGGCTTTATCCCATTATTTCCTTTCTCAATTAACAGCATTTCTTAGTTACCAAAGTGTCCATCTTCTTTCCTTTCTCTTCAATTCCTTACAATGAACTTTCATCCTATTAATTGAGCCTGACTCTTTAAGTATTTCTCCAATCTGCCCTATTCTCTCTCCATCATCTCTCACTTAGACTCAAACCGTAGCCCTATCTTGTTTCCCAGCTTCCTCTAAGCCTCTGGTCATATTTTCCATCTGTCTGTCTAAAACAAATTTGAACAAGATATGCCCACACCTTAAACCTGCCAGTGCTTCTCAGATCTTCTACTACAGCCTTCCCACTGGCCTTATCTATACAAATCCAGCCACTCCGAACCCCTCCTTAATCATCTTTCCAGTCTCAGTGGCCTCACACTCACTGTGCCTTCTGCCTGAAGTATCCTTTCTTTCCTGCTCTGCTTATCTTAATTCGGTTCTTCCTGTAGGAGTGATGCCTCAGACTCCAGCATTCTCTGTTCCAGCAGACATGGCTGCCCACCTTTGGGACCTTGGTCACACTTGGTTCTTGGGGCTGACCCTGCACAGCTCTGCCCTCCTGCAGTCTAACTGGGCACTTGTGGCCAGACTCCTGGACAAGATTGTCGGTTCCCTGCAAGCCGGAAAGACCTTTCATTTATCTGTGTTCACCCGGGACTGTAGATCCTGTAGATCCCACTGAATGCCGAAACATGCAGCTGCCTTTATTTCTGAGGACTTGGCGATGAAACTCAAATGAGAGGGTATTTTTGAAAGAACAGTGTGAACCAAACCACAAATATAAAAACCATAAATCTCTCTCTGAACTAAACACCACTTCTGGGTGAATGAAAATGATGTACTTCCCGGAAATCAGACTTATTCTTAATTCATAAAGACCGTTTAGGACTTGGAGTGGAATCAATAGAAGCCAAATTGTATTTTGCTTCCTGTTTTTCTGTGCTCTGCTTATGCAAATGATGTTAAAATAGGTGTTTAAAAATAACTTCTAATGGGCTATCTCAGTAAAATGTAGCTAACAGGAACAGAAAATATAATAGGAATCCAATAGATTTTAGAGCATTTTTTTAGACACATGTGGAGCCTGGATGGAGGGTTATAATGGCAGGAGGAAGGGGAGTCTTCTATGAACTGGGTTCACACCATGATCCAGCTGCTCAGGAGCCTGAACTGCAAAAAGCTGAGCCGAGATACAGAGGCCGGCTCCTGGACAACCTCTGTGTGGATCAAGATGTTAGCATGGATGTAGAGTCCTTAGCAAAGTGCTACAACCAGCGTTGCCAGATTTAGCATACATAAAAATACAGGACACTCCACTATTGTAGGAAGCATGCTTATACTAAAAAAGGATTTGTTTATCTGCAGCTGAAATGTAACTGGACATCATACATTTTATCTGGTAAGCTACAATCCAAATGACTTTAATATCTTTGAATCTGATGTTAGTGGCTCTAGGGCTTTTGGAAGAATTAGCATGGGCTTTCTTACTGCAAACTAGTGATTTTCGACCTGTGTGCTGCAAGAATTTTTAAAGCATGCAATACCTGACTAGTCTGGGGCACTGACCTTTTTTCCCTTAGATTGTCAAATAAAGAAATGACAACAGCCAACACAATAGCTGTCCAGTATGAAAGAATCAAAATTAAACGTATTTTTTGTCAGATTGGCAAATAATATGTTTTTTTAGTGTGCCGCAGAATCTTAGTCATTAGTTTACATGCGCCATGAGATGAAAAAGGTTGAAAACCGCTGCTGTAAACCACCAGTTTAAGGCCACAGAGAAACTGGTGGTGGATTGCCATCTGGTGGAAACATTGTGACAGTGAAAACAAATTAGATGGGGGAGACATTTTTTCCTGGAGTCTGCAAGGAAGGATTCTGCTCTGGTCAATGGCAAAGCCCTGAGCTTGCACTGTTGAGAGGATGATGACATCAAGAGGATGTGTATTTTCCAATAATCAGCATTTAGAGGTCCAGAATGCCCCCCAATGCAGTGGGCACTGTGGGACTATCCGATGTGGGGTGCTAACTATATATAAGAGCATCCTCTTCTTAGCGCCCCCCCACCCCACCTGCCAAAAAAAAAATGCTTTGGAGAGACTGACCCTGAAATATGTTTGGGCTTTTTTTGTAACCCTGTCCCTCCAGAGTCCAAATCCCAGAGAGCATGGTTTAATAGCAGGAGTGAAGACAAGGCCCCAAATGCCCAGTTTCTCCTCCAGCAGGAGAGACAGGCCAGGGAGAATGCCAGCTGCACTTGATCACGCCCAGTGGCGACCTCACCTGGGACTGGAGCTCAGTGTGTGAGTGGGGAGACGGTAATTACAGAGAGAAACCAACAGCACACTCGTTTACTGCTTACAATGAACACTCTGGCTCATGTGTCTGGCCAGGAAAGGAAACAACACAAGCTGATACAGAGTTCCGAAGTGGTACCGGCCATCACCTTCAGGGCCGACACCGAACAGAGGTGTGGAGATTCGGGTAGAGCCAGCCCCTCCCTCCTCACACCAGCGCCCAGCAAGATGAGCTCACACAGGAGCATGTCCGACTTGCACCCCAGTCGACACAGCCCCCCCGTCTTTCCTAATGCTTCTGCCACCATCTCCCTGATGGCGCCCCAACCCCTCCACCCAGCGGCCTGTCTGACATGTGGCCCCAGGACTAGGGGCCGTGGCTGTTTCTGTCCTCTTCTCGGGCCTCCTCGGGTGCCAAATGCTGCTCCACAGTGGCCGTGGGCTGCTCACTGGGGGCCTTGCTGGGTAAGGGCCCAGCTCCTGGCCTGGCCCCGTCAGGCAGCCGGCTGGGCCCTGGAGAAGGCTGTCTGCTCACAGGGTGAGCATAGGGAGCCGGAAACAGATCGGAAAAGTAGCCATCCCCTCCTGAGGGGTGCCCCAGAGCTTGGGGACAGAAGGGACCAGGGAAGGGCAGTTCTGGCAAGCAAGGGTCATTCCAGGGCACTGTGCCTGTGGGGTCAAAGAAAATAGGAGTAATTAGACAGGACTGAGGCACCGGCCACAGTTCAGCATGTGCTGTGAACGTCCACCTCCTCCGACACACAGGCTAGGACCCCATGCAAGTCTAGGGGGCAAACTGGCACCACGAGCTCCCCTGAGGACCAGGCATGTTCCAGACCCGGGCCTGGACACAGTGCACTGTGGCAGCAAGGAGACCCAAACCCACCGGCCACTCTTCCCCTTCTCCTGGAATTTAGTCATCAGATGGCTGCTTCCAGTTCTCAGAGGCCCAGCGGCCCGTCAGAACATTCGTATTAGCTGCCAGCTACTCTGCGCCAGGCACGGCCCTCATGTTATTCCTCCTCTTCATCAGGTGCCTCCATGATATGGGAATCATATTCCCATTTCAGAGCCCAGGAACCTGAAGCCCAGGAGAGTTGGAAACTGCTGAGCTGGACTTCAAATTTTGGTTTTCCTAACTCCAAAGCTCTCTGGCCGACTCTCTCTCTGCTCGACAGCCTCTGAGAAACTTGAGGAAACAGACCCCCCGTGGCAAGAAAAAAGCTTCCCTCGCACCAAGCCCTGCCCCAGCCTCCCCGGTAATGAGGCCTCTGTCCCTTCTCACCTTCCTCAGTCACCAAGGGAACCTTCCCTTCCAGCCCGAACTCACCCATGCTCCCAGCAGGCGGCTGCAGCAGGCCCTGCCCTGCCGGGGGCGCTGAGAAGTAGCCCTGCGAGGTCCCCCCATTGGGGCCATAAGGCGGCGGGAAGAAAGAGTCTTCTGGCAGTGGGGGCGTCAGCGAGCTGGGCGTGGAGAAGGGGAAGGGATGCAGATAGGAAAACTGGGGCTGAGGCTGTTGGAAAAGCTGGGTCTGCGGAGCCTGGGAGACCTGGAACAGCCCCGGCTGGTTGCTCAGCTGGTAATCCTGGGGTTCCAGCTCTTCCAGGTATAAGCAGGTAGGGGGCGGGGTGACACTTGTCCCCCAGGACCCACAGGAGCCATCTCTGTGGCTGAACAAGTAGGGGGTGGGGTGACACTGTGGGGACAGGGAAGCATTTGTGAGGGTCGGGGGGCCTCCTCATTCTGACCACACAGTAGGCCAGTGCCTTCTCCTCACCCCTCTCCCCACCTCCAGGCCCCACCTGCCACCACCTCCTCTTCCTCTGCCTGCTCCCAGCTTCTCGCCTCATTCCTGCTCTAATGATGAGATATCCTACCCTTTCCACCCCTTTCACCCGCTTCACATTTACTGCTCCTTGCTCCTCTCGGCTAACCCTTTGCCATCCCAAGCCCCTCTCTGCTCTGAAACCCTTCCCAAGATAACTCAGTGGCCACCCCCACTGGTTCCATACCTTGTCCCCCAGGACCCACAGGAGCCATCTCTGTGGCTGCTGTCACTGCCAAGTGTGTCCATCAGCAGAGGCATCAGTTGGGGGGTGTGGGCAGAGCCGAGGGGGAAGGGAAGGTTGGCCCTTTGGACAGGCGGGGGGCTGAAGAGTGGTGGGGTCACTGCCACCCTCTGAGCACCCTCGCTCTGTTGGGTTGGGGCCAGAGTCTGGTCAGATGTCAGAAGCATGGGGGGCTCTAGGAGCAGAAGACACAAGGGTTGTGAAGGTAAGAGAATGGGGAGGCAGACTTGGGGTTGCTGGAAGGAAGACGCGCAAGACAGCAGAGGGCTTTGGGCCACTCCCATGCCTACCAAGAAAGCCCCTCTGTCTTCACTGTCTTCCTGTCATCTCTTCCCACCCCCCAGATAATCCTCAGAAGGGGGCCAGCTCACCTGGCAGTGTGTCTAGAGGGGGCTCCTGAGGGAAGGCACCAGGCTCCGGGTCCATGGGCACAGCAGGTGGCAGCTCAGCAGCAGAGCTGGAGGCAGACAGAGTGAAGGCTGTACTTTGAATGGTCCCTGGACATAGATCGGGGCCTCGGTGCCAGGAAAGGGACAGACCCTGCCTCCCTCCGAGGCACTGGCCACTGCCCCACCCCATGCAGCCAAAGCCCCTAAATGTTAGCCAGCAGCTCCAGCCTCAACGCCCAGACTTTGAGACCCAGGTCCCAGCTTGGACCCCGCTTCCCACCTCCGGGGATGACCCGGCAGGAGGAGGAACTCACCTGTCCTGGCCACTGGCAGGGGCTGGACCTGCAGGACTGTCCTTGTCCTTCTTCCCATTCAGTTTCTCCACTTTTCGCCACTTTGCCCGGCGATTCTGGAACCACACCTGTAGGGAGAGACACTAGAAGAGCTTGAGGAAGGGGCAGAGGCTCAGCCGGTCCTGACTATCCCGTGAGGAGCTGCCTCACCGCTGCGCTGCAGATGCCGCCTCTGAGGCTGGTGTCATAGAAGGTCCCTCTAGCAGCCTTTCCCCTTCTCGCTTTCTAGGCCGTAGCGATGTGGACACGGCAAGAACACAGCCCTAAGAGCTGTAACCTCGGCCCGAGCCAGAGGTGCTGTGCACCTGCCTGCTGTCCAGAGGCCCAGCGTGGATTCTCCTCCACCCGTCCCTGCCCAGCCCCCTTTACCATGATGCGCTGGGGGGTGACCCCCACTGTCTGGGCAATCTCCCGGCGCTTGTCACCGTCAGGGTAGTGGTCTGCTTGGAATATTCTTTCCAGCTCCTCCAGCTGGTCTGGAAGGAGAAACCCCATGAATACAAACCCCAGGGATGTGGCAGGAGAGGAGAAGGACGCCTGCCAGATGGGACCACCGGCCCAGCCCAGGGCTCCTGAATCTCTCAACTGTTTCCCACTGGGCCGGGCCTCCTCTCCTCGGGCTTTGTGGGTGGGGACTAACCTTTCCAACCTGTTTTCAATTTCACTTTCTGATGCACCCCCAGCCCTGATAGGCCGTGGCCCTGCCACAGGCCAAGGGGGTCCAGGATAGGCAATGTGCAAGCAAACCACCCTCCAGTCTCCCGGGCCACGTTCCCTGCTGAGCGCACCTTTCCCAGAGATGACACCAGACCCCAGGCTGACTCTCACCTTCAGGGACTCACCTGAGCGGTACAGGGTTCGAGTCTTTTTCCGCACTTGGCAGGTCACTTCTAGGGGCTTCTTTTGGTCTGTGTTTTGGCTGTTCTGGGCCAATGTGCTGAGGAGGTTGGCCAGGTGGCAGGGCCCCCGGCCTGACCCACAGGGCACTGGGTTGTTGGTGTCACGGGCTGAGTTAGTGACGCGGGGAGGTGACATGGAGACTGGACCCATGGCGACAGACTTTTTCTGCTTCCCGGAGCCCGGAGCGAAGGACCTCTTCCCTGCCTTGGCCTCTCTCCTGGGGACGGAACACCCGTCTCCCTGAGGCTGGGGGCGGGGCTGGACCAGAGTTCTGTCTTTGTGGACAGAGCCCGGTGGCTGGCATGCTCCCCTGGCGTTGGGGGCCTTGGGTGGCGTCTTCTCTCCCAGGACAGCGCAGGAGAGGGGCGGCTCCCCACGTGGGACATCCTGAGTGGTGGGCGCTGGACTCCGTGGTGGTCCTTCCTTCTCCGACCCCGCAGCCAGGGGCTTGCCTCCACCTTCCTGGCCTGTGGGGAACGAGCACTGTAACTGGTTTCTGGTTTGAGCTTAAGCTTGAATTTGTCCATGTACAGAATTAGCTCCAGGCATAGCTTCCTAACCTGGCTATTGTGAGGATTGAAGTAGATGAGCCACTGCTTTGAAGAGTCTATGCAACTCTAAGGGGCCTTGGCTCATCTACACAGATGGTAGAGGGTATCCTAATGGGGGGACTAACTTCCTGTGAGCGCCCTGCTAGTTTCCTGCCACCTGGAAGGTGAGTTTGAAGGACAGGCATCTGTTCAGCGTTTCTAAGGGACAGATGTTGGGGTTGGGGTAGACGGGGCAGAGAGATTCTGTTTCTAAAACGAGCTTTTGTTCCTGCCGTAGATCCAGACATTGTGGCTTAGAGCAGGGCCAGGGTGGCATTGGATGGCCGCCTGAAGCCCAGGCAAGGACAGCAAAGGAGACAACAGGAACGACCCCCTCACCTTCCATAGAAGTCACTCTGCCCTGCCAGCCCTCCTCACGGCTATCCGCACCCCTGCCCTTCCCTGGAAGTGGAACCTCACACAGGGGACCAGGCCCGGGCCGCTGTCCTAACACAAGGGAGGGAGGGTGACTCTGCTGACACTCTCTAAGCCCGTCTGCCTGTCCTGAGCTCTGACTTCTCCGGGTGCACCAGGCCCTGTGCTAGCACCTTCCATAGATTAGTGGCATCTGATCCCTTCGAGGGAGGCACTGTCCACATCTCCTTCTAACATGGAAACACGGACAAGAAAGGTGAGTCATTTGCCCAGATCACAGGGCAAATGCTCCTAATCCCCAAGCACAGTCCTCCCGCCCACCAAACCCTCCCCCCACCACATCCCCATTACTCAAAACCCCCAGAATCCTCCACTCAAGATGCTGCTTAATCGTTTCCAAATAAGTTGGAATATTTACAAATGCATACTAACTAGTGACTTAGTGCTATTGTTATTCTAACGAAATTGCATGAGATAGAATGTCTTAAAGAATGACTTTCCTGGAGTGTGTGTAGTAAGATGGGCCAAGGTGCTTTGTCACAGTTTCCTGAGTGCACATGGGCCTGCCCCACAGGAGCGACCTGCAGCTGGTGGAGCATGGACAGGCCTCTACGGGGGTGAAGGGGCAAGGCTGGGTGGGGGAGGCAGAGCTGGTAGCCTAGTTCACCTGGTATATAGTAGGTGCTCAATAAATGCCACGCATCAGTTAAGAAAAGTGACGGATGTTGGGACCTGGACTAAAAGTCCTAGGACTCCGGCCCTGACTTTTCTCCGCGTGTAGAGAGAGGGGGACCTCGGACCAGGTGGAGTGGGGCCCAGCCCGCGGCCTACCCGAGCTCTAGAAGAGCCTCCTAAGGTGGGTGGTGGGCCAGCACCCCCAGCCCGCCCCCGCGCCCCTGCCCACCCC